AAGAATGAATAAGTGTTAGTGTTGGGGGAGACTACTTTGGAAAACAATAAATAGAATTCAACAAAATTATTGGCCTTTTTTCTTTAACTAAATTTTAAACTTAAACTTTTATCAACTTTAATTTTTAAACTTTAAATTTCAGAACAGCCCTCTTATTGCAAGTTGTCCGACCGATGATTTCCCAGACGACTGACGACAAACAAAAAATCTCATAATGGGATGCAGCTTCACACATCTGCAGCGCTACGGGCAGGAAGGAGTCTTTCCTGAACCGCATCGTGACAGGAGATGAAACCTGGGTCTTTCACCATACCCTAGTAACCAAACAAGCACCCATGACCTGGAAACATCCCTCATCCCCAGTGCGCAGAAAGTTCAGAGCAACCCCGTCGACCCGAAATGAGTTATGCAGTGTTCTGGGATTACCGAGGTTTTTTGTTGGAATTTCTCCAGCATGGAAACACAGTTAAGACTGATGGGTATTGTGCAACCCTGAAACACCTGTATGAAACAATCCGACGAAGACCAGGACGTCTCACACAACGGGGTGCTTATGCTTCATGATGACGCTCGTCTCCACATGGCACAGCAGACGACGAAGTTGCTGTAGAATATGGGGTGGGAGGTCCTTAAGCACCCACCCTGCAGCCCTGATCTTGCACCTAGCGATTTCCATCTGTTCCCATTTATGAAGTAACATCTCGGCGGCGGTCATTTCCAATCGGATGTTGAGGTGGTGAGAGAGGTGCAGAAATATCTGTCTGCACAGGACGTGGAATTTTGTGCCACAGGCATTGAAAAGTTGATACCACGGTGGGACAAGCGCCTCAACGCCCAAGGGGATTATGTGGAAAAGTAGACCGCTGTGAGCACTCTATGCAGTACATGTACCACCAGGTTGCAATAAATACCAGCACATTGGACGCCAGTTGTGAAGTTTTTTTTCCGATCACCTCTCGTATGTTCATGTTCGAGCTTCAACAAATATAACCTAGTGACAAAGTCGCGCTCGTAGTCTTGGTCTAAGGTACCTTGGCGGGATGAAGGTCATGGTCCTGTTGGCCAATAGCAGTACGGAGTTCGTGTTCCGCACACGAGCAGACGACGCTAGCTCTTCCTGATTGCCTGTGGATGGGGAGCCATCGAGTTCGGGTTATAATGCCACGTGCTCCCGTATTCGACCGTAGACCTAAACAAAAACCTTTTTTTTTCAAAAACGGTTCGGTTTACAAAAATCTAATTTGGACAAGATTTCCTGTTCCAGGTCGCCTGAAATCACCTCTCGCATTTCCGATTTTTTTTTGCAATCCAGGTCTTGTTGATGTACTCAGCGCCTTATCTCGTGCCTCACGGAAAAGCGATGACGATAATTCTGTTTCACACATTTGTCTGTTTACAATCACCGAACTCTCCAGGCATAACGCTTAGATATTCGAAAAAGATAGACATAAGTCCATCGTTAAATGAGTTTAATAATGCAACTCTTTTACTTGTGCATGATGCAATGATTAAAGAATGCGGGAGGGGTTTAAGAAAAATAGTTTGTTGACGCCCTTTCCGTTTCATGTCCCAAATTCCGTGTCCTCCCTCCTCTTTCCTTATCTGGAGGCTCCTGAGCTGGCTTTCTGTGAGTTCAGCGCCTCGAGCTCGTCTTCCAGCTTCTCATCAGCCCCACTCCTCTGACTCCTCATCCGGCTATTTTTCAGACCCGAATTAAGCCGGCCCACGCTCATCTCTGCACTTCATATTCACATACTTACATTTGTAACGTTTGCAAATTCGTTTAATAATCGCACTATCCCATGAAACATGTACATGACCTAGTACTGCGCATAAGTTTCTTTTATTTGTCTTGGACAGAGAAGCGACAGAGATAAGTCCTCAGTCAAGATTGAGTATGCAGACGCAAACATTTTTTTATTCTCCACTCTGAGACAGGGGGGGGGAATGGAAGAGGCTTCCAATTTTTAAAATAAAATCTTGACAATGTATGAAGCTTCTGAAAGCAAAAAATACTTTTCCTTTTCTTTCCTCTAGAACAGGGGTCAGGAACTCTTTTGGCCATTTGAGCCATATTAAGATTGAGCCAAGTGACCTTGAGCCAAAGAATTTCGAAGCAACAAAAATTTTTCCTGAAATTTGCAAGAAACATATACATTCTCTGATACATGAGAAAAATGAGAAATGGCCATAATTTTTAACTATGACACATGCACAAAATTTTTTGTTGCGTGAGACAAATATGGCATGAACCATGGGTTCCCGAACCCTGCTCTAGAAGAAACACACTTCTTCCGTTCTCCCTTTACACATCCGAAAAGGAGAGAGATATGCAGGAAATCCCGTTGCATGCTTGGTTTCCAAAAAGCAAAATGTGTGGAAGACAACATTCTCCCTTTTTATCGCCCGCATCAAAGCCGCGGCTTTTAAACCGGAATACTTACCAACAGACGTAACATTGGAAATTTATATCGCACATACACAGATTACTATTTCTCATTTTTAATTAACTGCCGTGCACGAAGAAAGAGTTAATAACATTTGCGCATAATCAGGATCAATGTCTCCTGTATGGAAAAAGGATTCCTTTCTGAAGAAAGAGCGATCCAATAGTTCCATAAATATTTTTGCCTCAATATGAAACAAAAATGCGGTTGGGTGATTAACACGATTGAAGCATGCATTCCATCACATGATGACAATTTCCCAAATTTTTTCATACTCTTCGATTTAATTGATATTCCCTTTCAAGATCGTTCTCATTAAAAATACGAAGCATCAATCCCGACAAAAGAGAATACCACTTATTCACCATCAGATATGCGAAGAAGAATTACACAACCGGACACTTCTGGCATCCTTTCGGTCACTAACATGTGAGAAAAAGCAGATACAAGACTGTAGAAAGGGGATAAAATAATTCTCTCAAAAGTCCATCAAAAGGAATTGCATGAGGATGAAATCCGAATCGATGAGAATTAATAACTCATTATAACGAAGCCCATTCTCGCTTTCAAAAAGGGCTTAACGTTATACATAGGAGCATGCAAATTCACTCCTAAAGCATCAATAACCTATAGTTCGCTGCATGGTGAGCCATTTACAAACTACAATGGAAAACTTTCGGCGAAATTTGTCACTTCTGGTTCTAAAGAGGGATAATGGAAGGAAGCGGCGGACGTACGACGTTAGTCAAAGCTGGAGCAAGGTGCAGCTTAGAGAAACAACCAAAATTAAAACACTTACAAAAGTAGCTCATTCCCAATAGAACTAGAGAAATGACTTAGCCACACGATTTAGAAATACTGCCCACGACAAACACAAAGGTACACGGAGAATAAAGAAAATTGCATAAGAACAAAAAAAAATCGAGTTCCTATTTTGCTATACTTCCAGGCCATTCACATCTGAATCTCTTCCTTACAGATGGACTCATGAAGGAAGACCGGAGTGAATTCATGAAAATTATTGGTATGGAAAAAAATTTTCCCTAAACAATTTGTTTCCAAAAATAAACAAATCTGAATGAATTCCGTTATAGAAAAAGAGGGGAGAATGAAACAAGGGAAGTTCTTAATGATTTTTGGTATGTCTCCTGCTTTCCGTCCCAATTAAATCCGACTAATACAGTTAAAAAAAACCAATACCTATTTCCTTCTATACAGATGAGATGAATCGTGTTGCTCGTGAAAACATGCTTAAGAACATCGGTAAGGAAGAAAAGTTGTATTTTCTCCATCCCATCACCAGGCGTCATTTATTAAGCATTATTATTTCCCATACAGCGCGCATGGACCCTGTCGAAAGAAAACGAGTACTAGACAGCATTAGTAAGAAAATTGTTTTTCCCTTCGTCAGTCTCCCGGCCCAGCCTCTTTTAATTAAACATTATTATATCCCACACAGCGCCGCTGGATCCTTTTGAGGGTGCAAACCTACTGAGCAGCATTAGTGAGAAAATTGTTTTTCTCTTCGTTAGTCTCCCCGCCCAGCCTCTTTTAATTAAACAATATTATTTCCCATACAGCGCGCATGGACGAAGACGATAGGAAAAAAGTACTAGACAGCATCGGTAAGGATATTGTTTTTCCCTTCGTCAGTCTCCCCGCCCAGCCTCTTTTAATTGAACATTATTATTTCCCATACAGCGCCGCTGGACCCTTTTGAGCGTGCAAACCTACTGAGCAGCATTAGTAAGATAATTCTTTTTCCCGTCGCCAGTCTGTCCGCCCAGCCTCTTTTAATCAAATATTATTATTTCCCATAAAGCCCGCATGGAACCTGTCGAATGGAAAAAAGTACTAGACAGCATAGGTAAAAAAATTGTTTTTCCCTTCGTCAATCTCCCGGCCCAGCCTCCTTTAATTGAACATTATTATTTCCCATACAGCGCCGCTGGACCCTTTTGAGCGTCCAAACCTACTGAGCAGCATTAGTAAGAAAATTGTTTTTCCCTTCGTCAATCTCCCCGCCCAGCCTCTTTTAAATAAACATTATTATTTCCCATTCAGCGCTTTTGGACCCTGTGGAACGGAAACAAGTACTAGACAGCATAGGTAAAAAATTGTTTTTCCCCTCGTCAGTCTCCCGGCCCAGTCTATTTTAACTAAACACTATTATTTCCCATACAGCGCTTTTGGACCCTGTCGAATGGAAACAAGTACGATATAGCATTGGTAAGAAAATTGTTTTTCCCTTCGTCAGTCTCCCGGCCCAGCCAATTTTAATTATACATTATTATTTCCCATATAGCGCCGCTGGACCCATTTGAGGTTCCAAAGCTACTGAACAGCATTAGTGAGAAAATTGTTTTTCCCTTCGTCAGTCTCCCAGCCCAGCGTGTTTTACTTAAACATTATTATTTCCCATACAGCGCGCATGGACAAAGACGATAGGGAAAGAGTACTAGACAGCATTGGTAAGAAAATTCTTTTTCCCTTAGTCAGTCTCCCCCGCCCAGCCAATTTTAATTATACATTATTATTTCCCATACAGCGCGCATGGGTAAATACGATAGGGAAAGAGTACTGGACAGCATTGGTAAGAAAATTGTTTTTCCCCTCGTCAATCTCCACGCCCAGCCTGTTTTACTTAAACATTATTATTTCCCATACAGCGCGCATGGATAAAGACGATAGGGAAAGAGTACTAGACAGCATTGGTAAGAAAATTGTTTTTCCTTTCGTCAGTCTCCCCGCCCAGCCAATTTTAATTATACATTATTATTTCCCATATAGCGCCGCTGGACCCATTTGAGGTTGCAAAGCTACTGAACAGCATTAGTGAGAAAATTGTTTTTCCCTTCGTCAGTCTCCCCGCACAGCCTGTTTTACTTAAACATTATTATTTCTCATACAGCGCGCATGGACCCTGACAAAAGGAAGCAAGTACTAGAGAGCATTGGTAAGAAAATTGTCCTTCCCTTCGTCAGTCTCCCCGCCCAGCCACTATTAATTATACATTATTATTTCCCATACAGCGCGCATGGACCCTGACAAAAGGAAGCACGTACTAGAGAGCATTGGTAAGAAAATTGTTTTTCCCTTTGTCAGTCTCCCAGCCCAGCCTCTTTTAATTAGATATTATAATTTCCCATATAGCGCTTTTGGATCCTGAAGAAAGGAAACGAGTACTAGTCAGCATTGGTAAGAAAATTCTTTTTCCCTTGGTCAGTCTCGCCGCCTAGCCTCTTCTTTTATTAAACATTATTATTTCCCATACAGCGCGCATGAACCTTGACGAAAGGAAACGAATACTAGACAGCATTGGTAAGAAAATTATTTCTCCCTTCGTCAGTCTCCCCGCCCAGCCTCTATTAATTCGACATTATTATTTCCCATACAGCGGGCATGGATGAAGACGATAGGGAAGGAGTACTAGACAGCATTGGTAAGAAAAATGTTTTCCCTTTCGTGATTCTGCCTGCCCAGCCTCTTTTAATTAAACATTATTATTTCCCATACAGCGCCGCTCGACCCTTTTGAGGGTGCAAACCTAATGAGCAGCATTAGTAAGAAAATTGTTTTTCCCTTCGTCAGTCTCCCTGCGCAGCCTCTTTTAATTAAACATTATTATTTCCAATACAGCCCGCATGTACCCTGACGACTGGAAACACGTGTGGTACAGCATTGGTAAGAAAATTGTTTTTCCCTTCGTCAGTCTCCCGCCCAGCCTCTTTTAATTATACCTTACTATTTCCCATACAGAGCTTTTGGACCCTGAAGAAAGTAAACGAGTACTAGACAGCGTTGGTGAGAAATTGTTCTTATCTTCGGGAGTTTCAGCGCCCAGCCTCTTTTAATTAATTATTGTTATTTCCCATACAGCGCGCATGAACCTTGACGAAAGGAAACGAGTACTAGACAGCATTGGTAAGAAAATTATTTCTCCCTTCGTCAGTCTCCCCGCCCAGCCTTTTTTAATTCAACATTATTATTTCCCATCCAGCGGGCATGGATGATGACGATAGGGAAGGAGTACTAGAGAGCATTGGTAAGAAAATTGTTTTTATCTTCGTCAGTCTCCCCGCCCAGCCTCTTTTCATTAAACAATATAATTTCCCATACATCGCGCATGCCCCCTGTCGAAAAGAAAACAAGTACGATACAGCATTGGCAAGAAAATTGTTTTTCCCTTCGTTAGTCTCCCCGACTAGCCTCTTTTAAGTAAACACTATTTTTTCCCATACAGCGGGCATGGACCCTGCCGAAAGGAAACGAGTACTATACAGCATTGGTAAGGAAATTGTTTTTCCCTTCGTCAGTCTCCCCGCCCTGCCTCTTTTAATTAAACATGTTTATTTCCCATACAGCGCGCATGGATGAAGACGATTGGGAAAGAGTACTCGACAGCATTTGTAAGAAAATTGTTTTTCGATTTGTCAGTCTCCCCGCCCAGCCTCTTTTAATTAAACATCATTCTTTCCCAAACAGCGCGCATGGAACCTATCAAAAGGAAACGAGTATTAGACAGCATTGGTAAGAAATTTGTTTTTCCCTTCGTCAGCCTCCCCGCCCGGCCTTTTTTAATTAAACATTATTATTTCTCATACAGCGCGCATGCGCCCTGTCGAAAGGAAACGAGTACTAGACAGCATTGGTAAGAAAACTGTTTTTCCCTTCGTCAGTCTCACCACCCAGTCTCTTTAAATTGAACATTATTATTTGAAATACAGCGCGCATGGATGAAGACGATAGGGAAAGGGTACTAGACGTCATTGGTGAGAAAATTGTTTTTCCCTTCATTAGTCTCCTCGCCCAGCCTCTTTTTAAAAAAAAATTTTATTTTCCATACAGCGCCACTGGACCCTTTTCAGGGTGCAAACCTACTGAGCAGCATTGGTAAGAAAATTGCTTTTCCCTTTGTCAGTCTCCCAACCCAGCCTCTTTCAATTAAACATGATTATTTCCCATACAGCGCCCATGCGCCCTGTCGAAAGGAAACGAGTACTAGACAGCATTGGTAAGAAAACTGTTTTTCCTTTCGTCAGTCTCCCCCCCCAGCCTCTTTGAATTGAACATTATCATTTCCCATACAGCGCGCATGCATGAAGATGATTGGGAAAGGGTACTGGACGTTATTGGTTAGAAAATTGTTTTTCCCTTTGTCAGTTTCCCCGCCCAGCCTCTTTAAATGAACATTATTATTTCCAATACAGCGCCGCAGGACCCTTTTCAGGGTGCAAACCTACTGAGCAGCATTGGTAAGAAGATTGTTTTTCCCTTCGTCAGTCTCACAGCCCAGTCTCTTTTAATTAAACATTATTATTTCCAATACAGCGCCGCTAGACCCTTTTCAGGGTGCAAACCTACTGAGCAGCATTGGTAAGAAGATTGTTTTTCCCTTCGTCAGTCTCACAGCCCAGTCTCTTTAAATTAAACATTATTATTTCCCATACAGCGCGCATGCACCCTGTCGAAAAGAAACGAATACTAGACAGCATTGGTAAGAAAAATTATTTTTCCTTTCGTCAGTGTCTACCCCCAGCCTCTTTTAATTAAACATTATTATTTCCCATACAGCGCGCATGGATGAAGACGTTAGGGAAAGAGTACTAGACAACCTTGGTAAGAAAATTGTTTTTCCCTTCGTCAGTCTCACAATCCAGCCTGTTTCATTTAAACATTATTATATCCCATCCAGCGCGCATGGATGAAGACGATAGGGAAAGGATACTAGACATCATTGGTGAGAAAATTGTTTTTCCCTTCGTCAGTCTCCCTGCCCAACCTCTTTTAATTAAACATTATTATTTCCCATACAGCGGGCATGGATAAAGACGGTAGGGAAAGAGTACTAGACAGCATTGGTAAGAAAATTGTTTTTCCCTTCTTCAGTTTCCAAGCCCAGTCTCTTTTAATTAAACATTATTATTTCCCATGCAGCGCGCATGGATAAAGACGATAGGGAAAGAGTACTAGACAGCATTGGTGAGAAAATTGTTTTTCCCTTCGTTAGTTTACCTGCCCAGCCTCCTTTAAATATACATTATTATTTACCATACAGCGCGCATGAGACTTGACGAAAGGAAACGAGTACTAGACAGTATTGGTAAGAAAATGGTTTCTCTCTTCGTCAGTCTCCCCGCCCAGCCTCTTTTAATTAAACATTATTATTTCCCATATAGTGCCCATGGAAATTGACAACCGGAGAGATGTACGATTCAGCATTAGTAAGAAAATTGTTTTTCCCTTCGTCAGTCTCCCCGCCCAGCATCTTTTAATTAAACATTATTTCCCATAAAGCGCGCATGGATGAAGACGATAGGTCAAGAGTACTAGACAGCATTAGTAAGAAAATTGCTCTCACTTCGTCTGTCTCCCGTAGCCTCTCTTAATTAAACATTATTTCCCATACAGCGCGCATGGATGAAGACGATAGGTCAAGAGTACTAGACAGCATTGGTAAGAAAATTGTTTTTGCCTTCGTCAGTCTCCCTGCCCAACCTCTTTTAATTAAGCATAATTATTTCCCATACAGCGCGCATGGACCCTGTCGAAAGGAAACGAGTACTAGAGAGCATTGGTAAGGAAATTGTTTTTCCCTTCGTCAGTCTCCCCGCCCAGCCTCTTTTAATTAATCATTATTATCTCCCATACAGCGAGCATGCACCGTGACGAATGGGAACGAGTACTAGACAGCATTGGTAAGGAAATAGTTTTTCCCTTCACCAGTCTCCCTGCCCAGCCTCTTTTAATTAAACATTAGTATTTCCCTTACAGCGCAAATGGATGAAGACGATAGGGAAAGGGTACTACACATCATTGGTAAGAAAATTGTTTTTCCCTTTGTCAGTCTCCCGGCCCAACCACATTTAATTTAACATTATTATTTCCCATATAGCGCGCATGGATGAATACGATAGAGAAAGAACACTGCACAGTATTGGTAAGAAAATTGTTTTTCCCTTCTTTAGTCTCCCCGCCCAGCCTCTTTTATTTAATCATTATTATTTCCCATACAGCTCCGCTGTCCTATTTTGAGATTCCAAACATACTGAGCAGCATTAGTAAGAAAAACGTTTTCCCCTTCGTTTGTCTCCCCGACCATCTTCTTTTAATTAAACATTATCATTTCCCATACAGCGTTTCTGGACCCTATCGAAAGGAAACGAGTACTAGACAGCATTGGTAAGAAAATTGTTTTTCCTTTCGTTAGTCTCCCCGCCCAGCCGCTTTAATTAAACATTATTATATCCCATACAGCGTTTCTGGACCCTATCGAAAGGAAACGAGTACTAGACAGCATTGGTAAGAAAATTGTTTTCCCCTTCGTCAGTCTCTCCGCCCAGCCTCTTTTAATTAAACATTATTGTTTCCCATACAGCGCGCATGGACCATGTCGAAAGGAAGCGAGTACTGGACATAATTGGTAAGAAAGTTGTTTTTCTCTTCGTCAGTCTCCCCGCCCAGCCTCTTTTAATTAAACATTATTGTTTCCCATACAGCGCTGCGGGACCCTTTTCGGGGTGTAAACATACTGAGGAGCATTAGTAAGAAAATTGTTTTTCCCTTCGTCAGTCTCCCCGCCAAGCCTTTTTTAATTAAACATTATTATTTCCCATACAGCGCGCATGGACCCTGTCGAAAGTAAACGAGTACTAGACAGCATTGGTAAGAATATTGTTTTTCCCTTCGTCAGTCTCCCCGCCCAGCTTCTTTTAATTAAATATTATTTTTACCATATAGCGCGAATGGATGAAGACGATAGCGAAAGAGTACTAGACAGCGTTGGTAAGAAAATTGTTTTTCCCTTCGTTAGTCACCCCGTCCAGCCTCTTTTAATTAAACATTATTCGCCATACAGCGCTGTTGGACCCTGTCGAAAGTAAACGAGTACTAGACAGCATTGGTAAGAAAATTGTTTTTCCCTTCTTCATTCTCCCCGCCCAGCCTCTTTAAATTGAACATTATTTTTTCCCATACAGCGATGCTGGACCCTTTTGAGGGTGCAAACCTACTGAGCAGCATTAGTAAGAAAATTGTTTTTCCCTTTGTCAGTGTCTCAGCCCAGCCTCTTTTAATTAGACATTATTTCCCATACAGCGCGCTTGCGCCCTGTCGAAAGGAAACGCGTACTAGACAGCATTGGTAAGTAAATTGTTTTTCCCTTCGTCATTCTCCCCGCCCAGCCTCTTTTAATTAAACATTATTAATATCATACAGCGCGCATGCGCCCTGTCGAAAGGAAACGGGTACTAGACAGCATTGGTAAGAAAATTGTTTTTCCCTTCGTTAGTCTCCCCGGCCAGCCTCTTTTAATTAAACATTATTATTTCCCATACAGCGATTTTGGACCCCGTCGAAAGGAAACGGGTATTTGAAAGCATTGGTAAGAAAATTGTTTTTCCCTTCGTTAGTCTCCCCGCCCAGCCCCTTTTAATTAAACATTATTATTTCCCCTACAGCGCGCATGGATGATGACGATAGGGAAAAAGTACTTGACGGCATTGGTAAGAAAATTGTTTTTCCCTTCGTCAGTCTCCTCGCCCAGCCTCTTTTAATTAAACATTATTATTTCCCCTATAGCGCGAATGAAATTTGACGAAAGGAAACGAGTACTAGACAGCATTGGTAAGAAAATTGTTTTTCCCTTAGTCATTATCCCCGCCCAGCCTCTTTTAATTTAACATTATTATTTCCCTTACAGCGCGCATGGATGAAGACGATAGGGAAAGAGTACTAGACAGCATTGGTAAGAAAATTGATTTTCCCTTCGTCAGTCTCCCCGCCCAGCCTATTTTAATTAAATATTATTTCCCATACAGCGCGCATGGATGAAGACGATAGGGAAAGAGTACTGGACAGCATTGGTAAGAAAATTGTTTTTCTCTTCGTTAGTCTCCCCGCCCAGCCTCTTTTAATTAAACATTATTATTTTTTTTCATATAGCGCGCATGGACCTTGTCGAAAGGAAACGGGTACTAGAAAGCATTGGTAAGAAAAATGTTTTTTTTTTTTCCATTTTGTAAGAAGAATCTGCAAAATAATCAGAAAGAAGAAAGCATTTGTAAGACGAATGACTTTGCTTCTCGATTTTGTATTAGATTTTTTTTTCATCTCGGTATTTAATATTTCTTTTTTTATATTCATCTGAACTAAGTCTGATTGGTCTTCGCTTTTTTTCCCGAATTTTTGGGTATGACTTTTAATTTCTGTCTGTTTCTTTTCATGCTGATGCTATTCAATGATATATTGTATATATATTTATTTTTGCAGTTGAGCTCGGTGGCATCAGAATTCATCCTTTCCTAATATCCTTCTGTATGGATTTTTTTCCTACTCCTTTTTCCCCTTTCAATATCTTTCATCTTGTTTCATTTTTTGCAGATCAATTTGAGGATGGCGTTCGTAGGGATTTCCTTCAAACTCCTGGTTTGCTACCTTTATCTTATTTCAGTTTTTAACACATGGGTGGCAGGCCCCGAGAAAATCTCGTAGTACGGACGACGTTGACGTCGTGCCTAAAACCGAGATTTCTCGGGGCCGGTCCCCAACCGTTCGCGAGCATACTATGAGATTTCTTGGGGCCTGTCACCCATGTGTTAACTCTGCCCGGATTTAGTCGTTTTATTTCATTAATAGGCACGGTAGCGCCAATTCCCCCTCTTGAAATCCGTCTCATAACGTAATTCATATTCATTGTATTCCTCTGAAAATTTTTTTTGGAACCACATTCGGTGTGCTTCATATCTCAAGTCTGAATTGCTCCACCTTTACAAAACGTTACCCCCTGGTTCACCTATATATAACCGCATTTTCACCTAATCTTTACCTGAAGTATCTTCTGACAGGTTGAGGGAGGGGAAAAAGCAGGGAAAAAGAGAGAAATCCAAAATTTTTATCTTAAGCTCTTTGGAAACGACTCCTCAGGAGCAGGATTTTGAAAAGTGATAAGACTGAAAGGTAAAATTTTGGTTAACCCAAGGGAATGTTCCCCTTGCACATTCGCGCTCGTCTTTGTCGTCCTTGTGAGACGTGTTGTAAATAATTTATTCCCCATATCGCTTGGTATCCGTTATGACTGCAAATCAGTCTCGGTGATTGTCAGTGGTTTAGCTCTTTCTGAAAAATGTTATTTGTGTTGTGATGTGAATTGGTTCCTTTGACGTTAGGTCAAGCTTATCTCAGGATCTCTGAACTTTCGACTTTTCAACTCGGAATAGTTTAGTGTAAATGTGCATTCAGAATTCTGAGACGAATGATCAGACAGACAAGTCATGAGCTTAGAAATACATTTTACCCACTATTTAACGATGTCATTCTCTTGTGCAAGTCATGCTTTCATTATTAGATCGCAGCACCCATATGGGTGTTGTGATTAACATATTTTAATCATAGTCTCAGTGTTAATGTTACACTTTTCATATAAGGTGACAAGTGCATCAGCGAATTCTTGAAACAAGAGGTTAGTCTGGGGTAAAGGATATTCTGTAAGCAAAAGGTAAATGACGGGTAAAAGAGCGGTAAAGTGGGGGTAGAGGTGAAACACGGGTAAAACTGCGGTAAAATATAGGTACAGGAGCGCTAAATGAATGGGAACGGTAATATTGTTAGGTGAAACTGCGGTACAAGAGCTGTAAATGAGAGCGGAACTGTAACATATAGGTAAAAGAGCGGTAAATAAGAAGGGAACGGTAAAATTCGTATGGTGAAACTGAGGTAAAAAAAAGGGGAATATTCCTGCTTTTTTACCTCAGTCTCACCGTCCGAATTTTACCTCAGGTAAAAAATTTTTTAAAGAGCAGTTTGGAACGTTTAATTTCCTGGGGTTGCAGGTGACACTGATTATCGTCCTAGGAAGACAGCCATTTCATTCCGTTTTTATTTTCCTTTTTTCTTCTCTTCCCTCCTCCATGGGGCGTTTTTTGACAAATTATACCAACCAAAGGAAAGATGTTGACTTTTAGGTCATCAAAATTTTCCTTTTTGTGGCTTGCCATGCATCTGTTTGCCACATGAAATGAAATTAGCTGTCGTTAATTTAGGCTTAGAGTGCTGACTCCAGTCCCGTTCCCAGTGTTGCCGGATATCGTGCTGGAGTTATGTCAGATTCATGACTGCTTCGGCCTTAGCATCTGTGTCTGGATCTTCCTTTTTTATTGTATGGAACATTTTTGTCATGAATTCTTGAGATGAGCAGGAATGAAACGGTGGTTCGCAGAGGCCGATCGATGTGGTGGGATATGGAGATATCTCACTCGGACANTTCGCAGAGGCCGATCGATGTGGTGGGATATGGAGATATCTCACTCGGACATCCTTGAATTAGCAAGATGGAGTCCGACATGCAATTCATGCTTTCCAGAGCCCGTTTCTCCTGAAACATCGTGGTGATGGTTCGAGGAACTCCAGATAGGCCTAACGTTTCGCGTTCGCACTGAAATGGTTATGAAACTCGAGACAGGCCTCTAATCTGTCTAACGTTACATGTCCTCTGAAATTCTTGAACGTCTTAAAAGACCTGCGATTGGCCTAGCGTTACTGAAGAAAAAAAATTCATACTACTTCATCGATGCTTTTGTTGTACCCGTATGGCCCATGCTTTCCAGTTTGCTTGATCTGTTGCCGTACTTTTAGCCTTTCCTGATGCGCCATTCAGACAAGTGAAGCACTAATTCTATTCAGTTGCAGTTTTCATGTTCTTCACGCCTAAAATATTGTTTTTTATTGTTTAGTTATAAGTGTCACATTTTTCTTCCAGAAGAAAACTGGTTGATTGATGCCAAGATTTTCTGTCAAGGTATAGCTCTCGATTAATTTCATTTCTCTTCTGGTGTGTATCCTGCAAGTTACGTCATTGACCTAATTTTTCTTTACAGGCAAACTTGAGTTTGACGAGCTCTCTCAATTCCTGGAAATGATTGGTATGCATGGCCTTATTTTTCTTCGCACATCCAATCGCCAGGTTCTATCGATTGAAACAAACTTGTTTTCTTCACAGAGATACTTGGGCACTTTCAGACCAAGAGTTTATTTCAGGCCTTCGGTATAGAGCCCGTTTTTCCCTCTCTGCGTCCATACGCCCAGTGCATTGTGATTAACTGATGATTATCTTATTTCTGATCTAGAGGAACTTGGGGAGGACATGCGCTCTCAACTTCTGAACCTGATTCGTATGGAAGTCCTTTTCTTCCAACTCCACCTCCATGGCCGGTCTAATTTCCAATCTCATGGATTTCCTTCACAGGCAAACTTGGAGCCCAGAGGCATCGTTGACGTCCATTTCCTACAAAGTGTTAACGTTGGTGCGTTTAACACAAGGCTCCATGTATCAAAAAGTGTTCAAATATTCATAGCAAAGAAAAGCATCCCCATTTTGAACCTTGTTTTAAAGTGCTTGGATGCATCAGATGAAGATTAACGTCATTCCTTCAATTCTGAACCACATACCACGACCATGTGCCTGTGTTTACCGATATCCTAGACTGAGATCAGCGAGATGGATGGATTTCCATCCATTCCTATTTCGTGATATTTTGATCCTTGATTCCCCCTGCGTCTGTTTAAATCCTTAAGTGTTCACATCTCTGCCGTTTGCCTATAATCTTGTTTACAACCAGAAGGATCATTTGATCTCGTTACCCGGCTTTGGACTGGACAAATTGTCAGGTGTCCCATTCTTAATTTCCGTCCTTGATTGGTGCATTTCCCTAGAGTCCCATTCGTGTTCTTTCGAGAATCGTCCCAAATCGTACGTTTCCTTCATGCTTCAAGAATTCTGAAATCCAGCGAGGATCCTGTCTTTATGTTGCACATACCTTGGATTGATTTGTTTTCCAAATCCTTAATAAATCAAATGAAATCTGACTCAAACAATCCCACCTTCATTGCAATGAAACATTTTCATATTTTGAGACGATTGAAAATCCAGGGAGATAATTATACAGAAAGTGACGATTCAAAATGTACAACAAATCGAACTGAAGTTGTCAGATGTCCTTGTCATCATGACGCATTTCGTTGATATTTTCAAATTTCCAAAAGTCATCTGGATTCATGATGTTGCTGCAAGTGATGGTAGGAGAAATCTGTTGCATTTGCTGTAAATATTCAAATAAATCTAATTTAAAATTAAGAGAAAGAATACCATTGGATTAGACCAAATCAAGACTTCAAATCGACCTATGCATTTTAAAATTGGTACACAGCCTGAAAATGATTAGAACTTCATGCAGTTGAGGTGCATGCTAATATTGATCCTAGATCACAGGGTCTTGACATTACTTCTTGCTACGTCCCCCTTCTCCCTTCTTTTTTTAATAGTTTCATTCTCCAATCATAGACATAGAATTCATCCTGATGGAAAAATCCCTCATGGCAACTCATTCTCTGGAGACCCGATGGATTTGGCTCCTTCAGCTCATGTCATATCCATGACTCTTCTTTGGAGTCCTTTCAACAGTTATGCATCATCAGTGAAAGGGAAGATCCAGCCGTGGAGGTGGGCGTGACGACCTGTCATGAATGATCTTCGGATCCGTAAGAGAAATGGAGAGGACCAAGTCTGCGAGCAGCAGGAGTGACTTCTGTATTGTCTTGGGATCCGTGGAATGGGCCAAGAAGACACTTCAAGCTCTCTACTTCATCTGACCCCAAATGTGGGGAACGAGCAAGGCTCTCTTCGTGCTAGAGGCTCATCCAGGTCAATCCAATGTCTTAAGAGTATTATGTTCTACATCAAACTCATTCAAGAACTTGACTCTAAATAGTCTTCAAATATACTGTAAAACCTCGCTAACTCGAACTTTTTGGGACAGGGAAAATCGTTTGGAGTTATTCGAAGTTCAACTTATCAGGAATTGCCTCTACCCGGAAAAATAAATAAAAATAGCTCATGTTAAAGGATGTAAGAATATATGTTTCCGTTCTCATAAATCTGAGGAGCCACAACCTTCTCATTATAATTGGCTTCATTCATGTTTAGTGAAACTCTGATACTCTATGAACAAACTGCATTCGTCACAACGCTCTTCAACCAGGACTCCGGAAATCAAATATGAATGGAATGGCCAGAAGTGAGAGCAATAGACACACTTCAGTGCTAGAGGTTGCTTCTTTTCATAGCAGAAGCTTTTCAGTTTTAATCCTTAGGTTTAGTCCTCTCCACAGGCGTCTGAGGGAGGAGGGAGAAGCAGAACAAGATGGGCAAGCCCATTTCAGTAGTGGGAATCCTTTCGTTTAAGAAGACCCTCATTTTATCACCTACTTGAACAAAATTACCATGGCTTTCCGCTCTTCAACCATCAAAAATCTAATTTCTCAGTTAGATTTGGCAAATCTACCCATGGTGGTCATGAAATGGAGATTGCAAGATGGAGGATTGTGCGTGGTTCGATTTTATCTGCCACGAAGGCTAGTAGAGAACTGACAGCACTTTTTGGGGACACGGCGCTCGCCGAAGGCCTCGGTCTTACACGCATGCGCATTATGGTTAATATTCTAAAGGGCTCTCGAGAACTCATGCCTTCCAACCCCTCACCCGGGAGCAATTTAAAATCCAAAATTCGCGATAAAAATGGCAATTTTGGGGCGAATTCGTCACAAAATGAACTCAGCCTGTATCTTGCTCATCTCAACCTGCTTGCCAATTTAAGCATTGATCAGGCTAATATTTTCTTAGTTATTGTCAGACAACCAAAGTGTGAAACACGGACGGGACCATGCGTGGTCTCTCACCTTTCAGAAAAGTCCATGAAATAGAACTTTCGCCTTCAGAAACGACTATTTTACCGCCTTTTGCTCTCGTGCCTTCTTAACTCGTTTGGCAAGTCCAATCCTATAGTGGGCCTTCTAAATAACTAACGATAATCAAGAAGACTACGCGCCTAGTAGGTAGAGGTCGGGAGATGAAAGGAAAGTGTAATAATGTGTAACATTCTTGGTACATATTTGTATAGCAACCTACGCTGGCATGTACAGGTGCTGCCTTCCACTACGCTTATCTAGTTAGATCCAACCATCAAGAAGGCTAGTAGAGAACTGACAACACTGGTTGCAGACACGGCACCTCGCCCAAGTCCCGGGTGGTCCGCGCATGCGCATTCAGGTCCATGCCCTGGAGGTTTATGAGGGATTCATGCCTTCACCTCCGTGACCAAATTTCAAATCCAAAATTTGCAATAAAAATGCCAACTTTTGTACAAATTCGCCACAAGACGAATTCAGCCTGCATCTTCTTTATATCTAAACACGTGCTAAATTTTGCATTGATTAGGCTAATATTTTTTTAGTTATCGTCGGACACCAAGTGTGACAGGGACGGACAGGACGGGACTATAAATGGGCTCTTTCCTTTCAGGAAAGGAGGCCCACTAAAAAAGGAAAAAAAAAGGATTTTCTCCCGAACAGGTTTCTTGCATTTCACCTGTTCAACAAATCGATAAGTCCAACAAGAATTCCCCCCCTCCCCCTTCACACCCCGATTTCGAGTTAACCATGAGAAAATCGTAATCAGGAGTGAAAATGTCGCTCGAGATATCCGGAAATTTGAGATAAGCGAATTCGAGTTAAACAGAATATTTAACATGGTGTCTCATGAGATTCGGCCGGAACGAAGCATTGAACTATGAAATAAGGGGAGTTTCGACTTATCCGGATTCGAGTTAAAAAGTTTTTAATAACATTCATACAATCAACAAGAAGTCAGATTTCAAAATCAATATGGCATGAGCTATTCCCTATTGCAAGCATAAAGCAAGAAAAATGAGGAGTGAGGCTTCAATAAGAATCACCACTCAAGAGGCATGACATGCTTTCCCATGCCTTTTGACTTTACAAGCGATTTAATCACCATCATCCTGTGAAGTCATATTCAACACGTTGACTCAACGGGGCTGAGACGACATCTGTCCATGAAATAGTAAAAGAAAACCATTAATCAAAACGCACTGTTTCTGGATTGTATTCACTCCGTTATGGAGAATGGAGGAAACACCACTTCCTGAAGAATCTGCATCATCATGGATGAATTTAACTTACAAGTAATATGTCACTACCTGCAATCAATGAAAGTGCTCCAGAGGGGGTGGTATGAATTCAGTCCAGAAAGTGTATGTTGCACGAGGCAGGAACAGGGAGCAAATATGGTAAATCTACTTATATTAAGCATGCATGAAGGCACAGACTTATCGTAACACAGTACTTGTAATGCACCAGGCATCTAAAGGGTGTCTCATACAGGGTGCGTAAGAAGTTCTGTTACAAACTTTGGACTCACATACAGGGTGGGGCATAAAGATCTCCCACATTTTGAAGGGGTATAAAAAATGAACTAAGCTATCTAGAAAAAAAATGCATATATTTCTGAAAAGTACATAAAAAAAAACAGTTTCGTTTTAATGGGTTTTAAAAATCATATCAGGCAAATGGCGGCCGTCGTTGGCAATACATTGCTGAAAACGTTCCCGGAAGTTCTCCATCACTCTCTGGGTGATTAAACGCCCTCTGAGAGATTAAACGCCCAGGGAACATTTCCCTCAACACTCCGAGCGAACGTCGTGCTGTGTGAGCTGTGGCCCCATCCTGTTGAAACCACACATGTTCTGTATCCACATCGTCCAGTTTGGGGCGCAGAAAGGTCTCCAACATTTCAACGTACCGGTCGGAGGTCACAGTTACTGTTGCACCACCTTCCTCAAAATTCATGCCCGGCTAGTGTGGTTTCAGCCGTTGACGTGTGGTTTGTCAATGCGCTCCTCTCACCTCGCCAGCAAGCACCTCAAGTGCTCCCAATACAAGTCGGGTCATCGCTTTTAAGACGAACAAATGCCGAGGTGACTATACCTTCACTCGGAGTAGCGATGAGTCTACAGCTGCAGCGGGAACTTGTTCAAGAATTTCCGCACTTAGGGCTCTGCGGTTGGCATGATCTCTCTCACTTAATTCTTGAGCCAACATCATTTGTAAGGATGCAGTTTTAAATCGGCATGCAGAATCCTCCTCAAACTCCGACTTGATATCCCCAGTGCCACGGCATGCTTACGAGCGGATCGCCTTGGCGATTGCTGAATGGATGCTCTTACTGCTTCCACATTTTCTGGCGTTCTAACGGTCCTAGGTCTACCAGGTGATTTTCTTTTCAGTGTGGATCCAGTTGCCCGAAGGTTAGAAATCCATAGAGACTTGATATCCCCAGTGCCACGGCATGCTTACGAGCGGATCGCCTTGGCGATTGCTGAATGGATGCTCTTACTGCTTCCACATTTTCTGGCGTTCTAACGGTCCTAGGTCTGCCAGGTGATTTTCTGTTCAGTGTGGTTCCAGTTGCCCGAAGGTTAGAAATCCATAGCAAAATCGTTTTCCGATCTGGTACAGATGCATTTCGACCGAGCGCGAAACGTGTACGGAACGCTCTCTGCTATCACAGAACGGTTGTTCTCATAATAAGCTTGAACAACAAAGCCCCGATGTTCACCGGTCCCACTCATGATGGGTACTGAAAACGGTAGAGCCTAACCTACCCAATAAGACTTAGCGCACCTCTCTACCCCCACTACAGCCCGCACAGTGCCCCCTCGAAATGTGGGAGATCTTTATGCCCCACCCTGCATATATTAGATGAATATAGTAGTCAGAGATTCCATTACCAATGATGATATCATGAAATTCTCAAAATGAGTAACTTTCTAGGTACCAACGAGATCCAAATTATCAATACCAAACAGGGAGGGAAATCCCACACGATGAAGACTGACACTTGAGAAGTGGATTTTTTGTGGCTGGCAGACTTGTTCAACAACACTCTACTCATTCAATGAAAAATATATTTCAATAGCAATATTTTAATGGAGGTTTTGACCTTTTCATTTAGACATATTCACATGTTTTGATAATTCTGTCCTGCAGATTCATTGGTTAACGTGCTGAGACAAGGTACTTGTTTCGCATTAAGCGACATTTCAATAAGCATGGATGGCCAGGCCCGAACTAATCACGATCATTTGGGTTGTCTTCACCCTCGACTAAAGTAACGTAATCTAATCTTATACGTGATATGGCTTCCATTTTTCACAGGCCTATGTACAATCACAAAAATAGAGCACCGTCTCATGGGTTAGACTCTTATAGACCAAACTGCGATCCAATTTCATGTCAATTCAAACCTGATCTCGGGAACGCCTTGCTAATATGACATAATATAATCATCAAAAGACAGTTTAGTTGATTCCTCAACGAAGAATATCAGGTTTCACTATTCCGTAACCATCTTTATACAAAGAAAAAGTTTGCGTTGACGCAAGAGCACAGTTACCCATTTAATACCTGGAGTTTTCCCGGTATAGCCCAAAAGTCAAGCCTTCATATAATATCTGTGCATGAGGTTACCCAGGAGGTGCGATGCCCCCCAAATTTCTGGTGTTGGAGTGCTAATAAGAATAAAATAATTCTTAAAATTTCTCTAAAGGAAACTCTAAAAATGTGCATTATATATTACACTGACTTATGGAACTGAATTAGCAATCCATGTGAAAAGACAAATCATTTCATTTTTACAAAATTTTAATTAAGGGAAAGAATGTGGAACGCTTTTGCATATCCTATCAGCGAAGAATAACAAAATAATTTAGAACATAGCTCTTGAACATGTAGATTGAAACACTTCATTACATTCCTGCATGTGCCCCATTGTTGTGAGAAAAAATGAAATTTCCGACTGACCAATTCTCTTCCTCCTCCAGAAGGGTAATCATTTTACTTATTCTTTGACGAAATTTAGTGCCAAGTGAGCCAACCGAAATGACGGCTCTGGTGATTAACACTACATCTATATCCGTCGAATGGAAGCCTCCCATGAAAGACAAAAACCATGATTTCATTGTGGGATATCAGATATACCTCAGTGAGGAAAATAGTAGCGAGAAGCTTTCGGTGAAACCACACTCCCACAGCATTATGAATGAATCTTCATGGACTTATACTGTCACGGATCTCCAACCGAATTCGACGTATCAAGTTGAAGTGGCCGCCAAGACAAGTAAAGGTACAGGTAGGCGGAGTAGCCCCATCATCGTGAATACCCTTGGAGGAGTTCCTTCAAGTCCCACACTCCAGATAAGGTTGGTTACTTTTTAGATTTAATTGCATTTTATTGTACTTGCACAATACTAAAAAAGAAAATGTAGCCAATTAAGTTGGCCTAAACCAATTCTTAGCATAGCTGAACGCCAAAATATTTAGGCCCTATACGTCGTTTCCAGAAATTTGCTAGAATATGGAAAATTCACATGCATATACCTAATTAGGCTTTCAGCAGAGGAGTATCCTACCGTCACCATTAACGCAACATGGACCAATCCCTCCCATACCTTTGGGGAAATTCAGGCGTGGCGCTTGCGTTACCGGAAACGACCCAACTTCTGTGGGAATTCCTCACAAAATGAAACAGAGCAGCTGGATATGAAGGAGTTCATATTGAACGACTTCGAAAAGAATGAATATACTATGCACGACCTTGGTAAGATGAGTCAATCCAGGCCCTCATTGTTAAAACGATAATTATTTTTCTCATATCATGTATCATGTCCACCTCGCATTCACAGAGAAAGGCTTCAGATATGAGTTCCGATTGGCTGGCCGCAACGGTGTTGGTTATGGTCAGGAGGGATTTGCTTATATGACAACACCTGAAGGACCTCCTACTGGAACCCCTACAAAAATATCCTTCCGTTTCATCACTTCAGACTCCGTCCTACTCACCTGGGATGTTCCAGAGGCCTCTCATTGCAATGGACGTATTCTTGGCTACACTGTGAAGTTCCACAAGAAGTTGAATGATGACCTCTAGTCAGTTTCCTTATAAAGGTGCGGCTTCCATCGGAACAACCATCGCCATTATCAAAGATGAAACCGGTTATTTCTTAACTGCTTACGAAAAAGTACGTAGGAATCGACCAAGACTTGTTAAACCTAGAGGTATGAAGCATGATGAAGGTTCAGGAACGGATGTGGCACCCTCCGTAACCGGGAAAGAGTCTCTCCTGTATAAACTACTGTTATAGACTTAAATAACCTCGAGGTGCATTACAAGCACGGCGTCGTTGGTCGGAAGATTCCTTGGAAGTCTGGTGGGATGAAGATCCACAACACATGTCCGGATATAGGGTATTTGAGGATGAATAATAACCTCGCTCAAGAAAAATTTGCACCAGGCCCTGGTTCCTGTTTATCTGTTTCTTCTCAGATATACTATACCATGAAGGACGACATGGATCTGGACCAGTGGATGCACATAGATACTTTGAGCACGTTTTCAGCTGAGGTGCCAAACCTTCAAAAATGGACAATTTATTCCATCAAAGTGGCAGCCCGAACCAAAGAAGTCGGAATGGTTTTCTTACTTTTATTTCACGACGGAGTTACATGCAATGGTGTTGTATCATGTAATGCACATTATATCTATTAAGGGTTACTTAGGGAAGCAATCAGAGATGATCCTGGTGAAGGTCGAGCCAGAGGTTGTTCCAACAGTTCCGTCTGTAAAAAAAGAGTATAGAGATAGTCCCATATTCATCGGTTGGAAGGACCCTACTGCTTTTCATCCCTACCGGAACAAGGTACCAATTTTAGCGGAACTGTTTGGGATTCAGGGGAAAAGAAAACGATTGATAGTCGAATTAAAGGCACGGTCTAACTGCTGATTTTAAGCGTAAAATAACTGACATATCATGAGTCTCCTGTAATCTCTTGCTTAAAAAAAATGAAAATAATTTTCCGAAAGGGAAAGAATTATGGGTAACTTGAAGGTAAATGTGAAACACAGAGCTCCGAAAGCACTAGGAATCTCACATTAAATCTCTAATACATGCTGAAACGATTCATCAAGCAGCATGTATGGCAACAACATCAAATATGACAGGAACATTTGCGCAAATTGAAACTTGTATAGGAGGGACATTATTTAAAAATGGAAAATACAGTACGTCAGTAGCCCTCTCGAAGGGGAGGGCGACACGTTTTCATCGAAGTGAGAGAGTGAAGCTTCGTATTTTCGGGCACCGATATTACATGATTATTAGTATTCATTGAACCAATGCTTGTTCTTTTGCTGATTTTCCATTACTCATTTCAAACATAAAATCCGGACTTTCGCAAGTCCTAGCCTATATTTAAAAAGGGAAAATTAATCTATTTATTAAAGGTTTCGATTGATGCAGTGAAAAAGTTCGTGGACGACTATGGAATCACACAGACGGAAGTTATACCAACGAAAATCGTATTTTATACCAAAACCTCCGGCACATTTTTGCCTATGCCCTTCACGACATACAGGGTGAATGTGACCGCCATACCAATAGATCTTGGGTATCGTCCTGCAATGAGCACCCATTTCACCACGGAAGAAGATGGTGAGGCACGTCCAGAATATATTTCGTCTTTCCAGTTGAATCTACGCTAATATATACCGATGATTTTTCAGTCCCTCCTGACATCACCCGACCAAGATTTTTTGGAGTGACGAAATCAGGGACAATCATGGTGGTTTTGTACCGGGCTTCGGAGAAATTCGGATCGGTATCGCATTACTCATTGGTGGTAGTGCCTGAGAGCCACGCAACTGATGACATTCATCCAGATGAGTATCATTTATCAGATGATGTAAGGCTCTACTAGGCTGGAATATTTGAAGATAGCCAATGTACAGTAATATATCTATATAAATTTAAAAAAATACACACTCGTTTGCGAAGAAAAAAAGGAGCCGCTATTCAGATGTGTATATCTGAGAATTAGTGGAAACTATGGCTGCGTAGTTTTCAATATACAGGGTGGGCCAAAAGTTTTTGCCCCTGTATAAAAATGTGAATATCTCCTGAACGGCTTGGGCTACATAGTCGAAAAAAAAACTAAAAGAAAGTTCATTTCATCCTCTTTCTGAAAATATATGGTTTTAGGTTCCTACATTCATTTGGAGATGAGTCATGGCCGTTTGAAAAAAACACAGAAAAAAAAAGTTGCCAAAACGAACCTATACCGTGTCGCCCACGGAAATCATCCTCAGCAGCTGGCTTCAAGGTCGCACGCGCTGTCATTTTCTTCCTTCCTAATTGCTCCCTACCTTCTTTCCCTTCTTCATAATGTGAAGGTTGAAAATTTGAAGACTTTAATGCTTGATTTGGATAACCGACCAGCCGAAGATCGTGACAAAGTTAAACGACCTCTGGTGGTCCACTCCGTGCGTTGTGCTGAGTGCTTGTCTTTGCAGTGTTAATTTTTTTAATTCACCTTTTTTTACCTCTTATTCAGAAACCCTTACAGGGAAAATGGGTACAAACCGTGTTCTAACTGAGAGTGATAGAGTTTTAATTCGGTCGCTTCGGGAAGAAAAAGGATTTACCTTGAACCAAATCTTGCGTGAATATCCCGATCGAAAATGGAAGAAAAAGACTGCGTTATATCTTGCGAAAACTGTGTGAAACTGGCAGTGCTGAACGTCTTCCAGTCACAGGCCGTCCCAGAAGAGTAAGAACGCCAGAAAACATTGACGCTGTGACCAATTTTTCTTGTAAAGGTTTCTGAATAAGAGTTTAAAAAAAGGTAAATTAACAAAAAAATTAACACTGCAAAGACCAGCACTCAGCACAACGAGCGGAGTGGACCACCGGAGGTCGTTTAACTTTTGTCACGATCTTCTGCTGGTCGATTATCCAAATCAAGCATCAAAGTCTTCAATTTTTATCCTTCACATTATGAAGAAGGGAAAGAAGGTAGGGAGCAATTAGGAAGGAAGAAAACGACGGCGCGCGCGACCTTGAAGCCAGCTGCTGAGGATGATTTCCGTGGGCGGCACGGTATAGGTTCGTTTTGGCAACTTTCTTTTTCGGCATGTTTTTTTTCAAACGGCNTGAGGATGATTTCCGTGGGCGGCACGGTATAGGTTCGTTTTGGCAACTTTCTTTTTCGGCATGTTTTTTTTCAAACGGCCATGACTCATCTCCAAATGAATGTAGGAACCTAAAACCATAAATTTTCAGAACGAGGATGAAATGAACTTTCTTTTAGCTTTTTTTTCGACTCTGTAGCCCAAACCGTTCAGGAGATATTCACATTTTTATACAGGGGCAAAAACTTTTGGCCCATCCTGTAATATATATAGACGATCGTGACTGACTGCCTGACTGACGCTTATTCTAACCATGTTCCAGAAAGGTTAGAAATCTAAAAATTCGTACACATGTGCCTTTTGGGGTGCAGAGTTCAGAAAAAATCCGACTTTCGAGGTACATGCCCTGGGGGTAAACATTTTGGGGGGAGAGGTTTTTTTAAATATATATCGTGATGGATAAGGATGTCATCGAGAGGCTTGATGGGATGTCTCGAGTTCGGTGGTGTAGTGGTAGCACACCTGACCGGTAATCATTAGGCCCAGGTTTAATTCCCGGCCATTCCGTGCCTATTTTTGCCTTCTCTTGCCTTCCATGTCCAGTTGCTTGAATAAAACGGAGAGACATGGAAAGCTGAAACATGGCATGGACCGATGAGTTCAGGAAAAATGAAAATTTTAGATCAATGCCCTGGGGGCATATTTTTGTTAGCCGACGTTTTCAAGTATTTTTTTTTGTCCTGGCGTATTGAGCTAGTGTGGAAAGATGAAACTTGGTACATCACTACCTATAGGGATGCTGCAGCAAACTTCAAACTTTAGAAATGCCCTGGGAAATGTCCTGGTAAATGCCCTGGGGGCACAAATTTAATAGGGAGATGTTTTCAAATAATTTTTTTTGCATCAGTTAAACTGATGAACACGGAAAGCTGAAACTTTGCATGAATGTGACTCCTGAGACAAAGAGTTAAATAAAAATGTTAAGTCCCGATACATCCCCTGGGGGAATTTTTTCAAGGGGCGATGTATTGAAAAAAAAATTGTTGTGGCGAATTTCACAGAAATGGAAAGGTGAAACTTGGCACACGTGTAAGTGACATGATATTACTGAGCTGAGGAAGTGTTCAGCTTTCATGGGGCATCCCCTCCGGGCATGACCTTTGGGTGGGTCGGCTTTTCCAAGCATGTTTTTTCACCAGCGAAAAGGTCAAGCGTATAATATTGAAACTTTGTGGGCATGTAGTTCACCTGGCAGGCATAGAAAAGTAGCTGGCGCACGCATCACTGAAGTGATGTTGATTTAAGGAAAAATTAAACTTTTTTTCATACGTCTCCTCAGAGCACAACTTTTGAGTTTTTCCCAATACATTTTTTCCCCAGCAAAAAGGGGAAACGTATCAGGATGAAACTGGGTGGCATGGATTTCCCTGTGTCTACATTTCAAAAGGAAAAATATTTTCGTTAAAACCTATTAGGGCACTTTTTTCAGTCCCATTTTCCTGATTTTTTTTTTGATCCAATGAAACAAAGACAGAAAATATAAACTTCCCTCAGAAGTACCTGTTTGATGGGTGAGTGGAGGAAAAATCCTAGCTTTGAAATATGTCTCCTTAGCGTAGATTATTGTTGGGAAGTATTTCAAAATGTATTCGCCACACTTACAAAAAGGGACACAGGAAAAGATTTCAAGTTAGGCTCACATAGGATCAGAGAGGTAATGATTTTGATAAAAATCAAGACTTTCGACCCTACATGTCACGTATTTCAATGGGGACGTATTTTAAATACGTGTTTCCCATTTCGGAAAAAATGAATGAATTAATCAATATCCAAGGTAATAAAGCGCCGAAGGCGCGACCATAGCTCGCAAAAACGCATTAACTCGCTAGTATTATTTCACCGTAATCACGCCGATGTCCTCCTGCTTCCAGAGGAACAGGATGCCTCTTTCTCATCTTGGCATT